GAATTCAAAACTCCAAGCGAAGAAGTATTTCCCGTCGAAAGGCTTTGAAGTCAGAAACTTCAGAATATTGAGCATCTCTGTCTGATAATTCGTCGTGTCTCTAACTCCCAAACCATCTCCATCCTGTTGCTATTGCTGTTGCTGTTGCGCAGGTACACCGAGTGGTACAAATGCAAAGGTGGTCCGCGGCTACTGTCGAGGCACTACACAGTAAGAAACCGGTTGTCGTTGTTGTTGTTGCATGTAAGATATCCCATCGACACTCATAGGTGACGTCCCCATATTCACCGATGTTGATGCTTGTGGTGCTTGCAGTACTTGAGGTGCAGTTGCATTAAATATTGACAAACACTGCATGACTTGTTGCATTAAGTATTGCAGGATCGATGGCGACTACGCCATCTCCATCAGCAGTATTGAACGCAAAGGACGGGGAGGATCCTCCAGCACCTCCTAATCCAGTTGCAGATGCAGATGTTGGAACAGGGCTGGCAAAGGTCAAACCAGAGCCAGGTAGTGGTGGTGCAGAGGGTTATTGCGTATCACCATCTCCACTTTGTAAGTGGGCTTTACCGTTGTTACCATCTGCCATGTATGTAAATTATCCCTGATAATGAAGATTCCGTTACTGAAAATTGTGAAGCTGTAGTTTATGAGATCGTAAACTCTCCTGCTCTCATACCATGTTGGGCTGAGAAAAGCCCTTAGGATCTTTAAGATTCTAGCCCTTAGTAAATTTATAGAGCGAAATTCTTGAATTCTTGTACTGGTTGAGTGTGAGAACAAGAATAGATCATAATGAAAAAGTACAAGAGATATATCGTCTAACAAAGTACCTATTCGGTAATGTATCTGTTCACTCAACGGGCTGAGTATCGAGTCGACTCTATGGAGCGGTACTTTCATAGTGTCACGCGAGGAGTCACGAGAAAGTTCGCGCTACTACCTGTAACTCACGCGGAGAGACTGTTAATGTAGGAACGGCAGAATGATGAAACTAGGCAGCATGTGTGTACCCCCTACAGTATGCCTCATCACAGCCTAAAACACACATATAACATTTGACACACCCCCATAGGTTAAGTGAGGGATAGCAAGAGACAGCAAGAACCACAAACGGTCACAAGACCAGTCAAGAGAAGCAACAAAACAACGCTCAGGGTGGATCTCAAGATCACCAAACAGTCAGAGCACAAGCAAGCAGCCACAAGGCCAGTTCATATGCAGTGTGATACATCACAAAACCCTATGCCAAGTTTGGATGAGTCTTAATTTAGATTGACTTGGCGTAAAAAAATCCGGAGCCAATTTGGACCGACGGTTGGAGTCATTTGATAGGAGCTCCGAGACACATCGCGCGGCAAGGTTTGGCTCGGGTCAAGTTCCGATTTGGCACTCGAGCTTTTCCGGATGGCATTCGGGCGCAATCCGTTTTGGTGCAAATTTGGATCCAAAATATTCAAAGCTAAATTCTGGTTTTGTTCATTTTTTATGTTGAGCTTTTCAAAATTGCATTTATATTTCCGGTTTACAACAACAATTATTAAGCATTCTAGCAACAAGCAGGTTTAGCACCAGGTCAAATAGCCTACGCAATGCCGGGCCCTGGAAGCGCCCGGTGGGCAAGAACGACCTCTCCAAGGTCGCCATCGTCGATGAGGAACTTGTTTCGGGAAGACGAACACACCCTGAGCCGGATCGTGTTGGATCCTACGCTTCACGACAGCAAAGTGGATCATCTGTTTGACCATTTCGCACCACTCCAAGTAGTCTGGCCTGTTTTGATCCGGCTGGCTACTAATTCGCTTGCGACGCTTATCCTGCAGAAAGGGCCACTCGATTTGCAGTATGGTGTAGGGTTGGGTGGGTGGTTTATGAGGAGGGGGGGTTACGGGTAAATGACCCAACTGAAAGCGGTGATTCAGTTGTCACTATCTACGTAACCGCAAAGGCTTAATTGACCAGGGATGGGCAGAAGTACAGGCAAGGGAATGAGGCATGTGTGTACAAACATATATCTACATCCTCACCGAAAACCGGCCCCATGCCACCATGCGGCTCTTGAACTTGGTGAACACGACCCCGCCCCTCTTGAAGGAGATCTTGAACGCATAAGCGAACAAGGGGTGCTGAAGTGCCAGTTGAGAGCCCATTGTTCTGCATTTTGGTAGGGAGGGGGGGCGGAGAAAGGGTCGCGAGACGCTTCTGGGTTTAGGGTTGGGCTATGTTTGCAAGAAAGTGAACGACTTCACACCGAGAGCATCACTGGGTGTGATTCTACTCGCTTAGGATGGGTGGTAAGAGGTATAGGAGAGTGCATCGCTGGGCGTGTATGGGATCAGGCCTTGTGCCTCAAAATGTGTATCCCCCACTATGGATCATGGGGGAACGCGGGGGGGGGGGCGGGTGGGGGGGGTTGGTGGAGGGGGGGGTTATGGGTTGCAGCCATTGGGGGGGTTCGCACGCGAAACTCCAGCAACATAGACTCCTGCAGCACTCATGAAGTCAACACCCGTGGCGTGGGTTGGAAAGGGGGTGCAGAGAAATCAAGTGGGGGAATGAGACTCAGGGTGTGCCACATCGCACGGTGATATGTAGCTGCAAACTTGTATTTGGTGGGGCATATGGTGTTTTCGAGTTGCACATACCATCTCTGTACTCGGCTAGCAAAACCACCTCGTTGAGCGGAGCTCACAGGGCAGGCTATCCACGAGATGGCGGAAATCGGCATGGCCCATGCCGGTGTATGCTGCTGGCCTGAGGGTGGAGTTGATTGTTGACCTTGTTGACGACATCTGGTGGTTGAAGACTGTCATGGTTGACTTGTCATTGTGCAACCACAGCAGCTTCATTGACTCGAGCCCTTCTGCAGACAAGTGGACAGAGAACGCTTCGAACACTTCCTCCGGTGCAGGGTAGTACTGTATTTTTTTCGGCGGGTTCAGAAACAAGTGCTGAGACGTCACTAAGTAGGCTTTGTTCTGCGCAGGGGTGTAGGGTATACAACACGACAAGGGAGAGAGAAACCAGTTGTTATGATTGTGGCCGCGGGACCTCAGGATGGTGGTTAGCAACACTGTGTGAACTTGCCACGTCACACCCCCCTACATCCGCCACGTCATCCACAACCCGGCCCACGTGCCACGTCACACCCCCCTACCACAAGCCACGTCACCCCCACCCACCTGACACGCCTCATCCCGTCATGCGCCGCTCCCGTGTTCCCTCCAAACCACCACGTCACCCCCAACCCCGCTCGTTTGTCACGTCACACCCCCCTGCATCCGCCATGTCATCCACAAAACGGCCCACTTGCCACGCCACACCCCCCTACCACAAGCCACGTCACCCCCACCCACCTGCCACGCCTCGTCCCGTCATGCGCCGCTCCCGTGTACCCTACAAACCGCCACGTCATCCCCAACTCTGCCCATTCGCCACGTCACACCCCCCTGCATCCGCCACGTCATCCACAACCCGGCCCACTTGCCACGTCACACCCCCCTACCACAAGCCACGTCACCCCCCACCCACTTGACACGCCTCGTCCCGTCATGCGCCGCTCCCGTGTACCCTACAAACCGCCACGTCATCCCCAACCCCGCTCTTTTGCCGCGTCACACCCCCCTGCATCCGCCACGTCATCCACAACCCGGCCCACTTGCCACGTCACACCCCCCTATCACAAGCCAAGTCACCCCCCACCCACCTGACACGCCTCTTCCCGTCATGCGCCGCTCCCGTGTACCCTCCAAACCGCCACGTCATCCCCAACCCCGCCCGTTCGCCACGTCATACCCCCCTGCATCCGCCACATCATCCACAACCCGGCCCACTTGCTACGTCACACCCCCCTACCACAAGCCACGTCACCCCCCACCCACCTGACACGCCTCGCCCCGTCTTGCGCCTACGTCCGTCTGCCCTACAAATCGCCACGTCAGCCCCAACCCTCACCTTTCGCCACGTCACATCCCCCTGCATACGCCACGCCATCCACAACCCGGCCCACTTGCCACGTCACACCCCCCTACCACAAGCCACGTCACCCCCCACCCACCTGACACGCCTCGTCTAGTCTTGCGCCTACGCCCGTGTACCCTACAAACCGCCATGTCATCCCCAACCCTCGCCTTTCGCCACGTCACACCCCCTTGCATCCGCCACGTCATCCACAACCCGGCCCACTTGCCACGTCACACCCCTATCAAAAGCCACGTCACCCCCCACCTCCCTGACACGCCTCGCCCCGTCACGCGCCGCTCCCGTGTACCCTCCAATCCGCCACGTCATCCCCAACCCCGCCCTTTTGCCACGTCAACCCCAACCAACCCCATTTGGCCCGTCACATACCGGGAATGGGCTTGTCTCCTGCAACACTAGCACTCGTGCCTTGTCCACGGCACTCATCGGCGGGGGGGTACCAGCCATAGGCACCACTGCGGAACCCCCGGCATAACTAGCAGGTGCTCCACGACGCAGGCCGAGCTGAGCAAACATGGCGTACATCTCAGCCCAGAGCGCCTCGAACTCCTCCCGTGTAACAAACTGCTCCTGCTCCGCACTTTCACCTACGGCACCCATGGGATTGGGGCCAGGGTTTGAAGAATCCGCCCTCTGGCCAAGGGGATCAATGTCTTTTGCAGCAGTCCCGTGTGCCCTCACACTATCACGCTGGCGGGAAAAGGGCAGCTCAGGGAAGGGACTGGCAGAAGTGCTTGGCTGATGCCGGTGCAAATGACCGGCCAAGGGGGAGACCGCTCTGCCCCGGACAGGAGATGCATGGAGCTGCCGATATGGGTATGATGGTGAGGGGAGTGGGGAGTGCGTGACGTGGCCTTGTGGAGGGGATTTGGCATCCTCTCCTCCTGGTGTGCCGGGTGCTGTAGCAGCGACTTTAGACGGGCTGCTATAAGGCGTGAACAACCGCGGGGCTCCTGTGGATAGCGGGGTAACACTCGCTCTTCCGGCCCCCTTCGTTATCTGCATCCGTTGCACGCTTACCGGTGGCCCAATGCCTGTAACACGAGGGGCTGAGAGTTATAGGGAGCATGAGCACAGAGTTAGAGTCGATTACGTTCAATACAGGGGCACACATGCATGCAAACGAGCAGCGGTTTGAATATAAATCGGGTTTAGCATGGTACTGTTTTGGAAATAGTGGCCTTACCCTGCTTTGCAGATTCGTCGACCTTGCCTTTCCCTGCAGGGGGAAAACAAGGGATGGGTGGTGTTAATAGGGACGGCTTAGCACAGACTGCGACACAACGCCATGTGTATCGGCCACAGCGCTTACCTCGCTGCAGGCCCTTCGGTTTAGCTGCCTGCGCCTGCTCGTTGCCACCTTTCCGCGGGGTGCTTTGGCGGCCGCTGTGACGTTTACCGGCAGCTTCCTTCTTGGCCGAACCGACTAGAACCCCTTTGGCGCGGCCATTCTTTCCTTCTCCATCCCCTTTTGCGCCTTGGCTCCCCTGCTTTTTACCACCCCCTTCAGTTTCGACCTTCACTTTACGCACCTTCGATTTGCCCGCTGCTTCGCCAAGAGGTGCGTCAACTGCCCCGCGTTTTCGGGGATGATGAGTCCGGCCCCCCACCTTCCCTGTACCACTCCCCCGTCTGCCTCGCGCTCCCCGGACCTTCACTGCCGCCACATCCTCCTCCTCTTCCTCTTTCGCCCCTTCCTCCTCCTCCTCCTCCGCATCCTCCTCCTCGTCCTCCTCGTCGTCGTCGTCCTCCTCCTCCTCCTCCTCCTCCTCCTCCTCCTCCTCCTCCTCCTCCTCCTCCTCCTCCTCCTCCTCCTCCTCCTCATCCTCGTCGTCCCCCTCCTTGTCCTCCTCCTCCTCCTCTTCAAACTCCTCATCATCATCCTCATATGTTTCCTCCTCCCCCAACTCCGCGTCCTCCTCCTCCGCATCCTCCTCATCCTCCTCTTCCTCCTCATCCTCCTCCTCATCATCCTCCTCCTCCTCATCCCCCTCATCCCCCTCATCCTCCACCTCCGCATCCTCAGGGTCTTCTTCGCGGCTTTTCGGCCTCTTCCCCCTCGCTGCTTGCTTGCCCCTTCTTCCGCTGGGTTTTTCCGCGCTCCGGGTCGGCCCTTCTGGCGCAATGCATGGCCCGTCGACTTGCCACTTGCTTCCCTGGTGCCTCGCGTTGTCCCAACTTCCGCGCCACCGACGTCGTCAGCACTGCCTGTCGTCTGCCGCCTCTTCGCCCGCGTAGTGATGTCCCCGGTCAGGGCGGTGTCATCCTCTTCCTCCCCATCACTCTTCCTCTGCCTACTCCTCCCACGTCCACCTGAAGGAGGAGAGCCACCGACGTCGGCGATGCCGTGTTGCTCCTCCATAGAATCGTGCTCCCCATCGTTGTCCTTCTCGACCACGGCTGCAGAAACTTCGGCCACGGTCGGCTGGAGCAGCGTCAGATGGTGCTGCGATGCTTCCACCTTGGACTCCTGGATGGCGAAATGCTCGTCGCGGGGAGCGTCGCCGTGGTTTCCCCCTATCGCCGAGCCCTCTCTCTCCGCCGACGGATCAACAAGACTCACGCTCCCTCGCCCAGGATCTTCCTTGGCGCCGATGGTGCCGTCGTCAATCGGCCCGGTCTCGCTTCCACCAGAGGCATCTTCCGCAACGTTTTTCACGGTAGAAACCCGCTTGCGTGGCGTTGATCGCTGCCCCTTGTCTTCCGCCTTCTTCCCGGACTTCTCCTGTCCAAGCGCGGCCTTTTTTCCTGCTCCTTTTTTCTGTTGACTGCCACGCGTGGCGGACGCTTTAGTAGCTTTAGATCCACCATCACCCTCCCGATTGGTCTGAAGAGACTGCCTCCTTGTCGCGCGTTGTCCGGCATGTTTATCCTCCATTTCTTTTTGCCGAGTGGCATGTGTCATGGCTGTAGTATGAATGCTATTTTTAATGGGCGGAACGGTTGAGTAGGTTTACTAACCGTACCGCAAAGAAATGTAATTAAGGCAGACTCAACGGTCTAATCAAGAATGTCGCGTCGAAAAGCTCTTCTTCAACTTTAACTGAAATAGTAGTCATTAAGCACAGAGCTAAGGCCCACTACTACGACGACCATCGAGCAGCGTCAAAGTTGTGGGCCAGAGGGTGACGGAAGCTGGTGGGTGGGGCACGAGGGTGGTTGGGGTGGCTTGGAGACGAGAGAAATGACTCTAATCAGATCAGGCTAGATCGGACGGTGTACCTTTTGCCACCCGATCCTAAACCCACTCACCGCTCGATCACAGCCACTTCAATGGCGGATGCCGCTTGGCTAGTGCTTTTGTCGCAAAAGCAGTCGTTTGAGATGCGTCGGCCAATCAGTATTGCCAACACATCGATCACTGCACACGCTGGAACGGTTTCTGGACCACTACCGCGAATGTAACCTAAACCCTGTAAAGTACAGTGCTGACGCGACATGAACAACGTTGCACATACAAGCAAAATATGCTTCAAAACTACAACAAATACAATCCTCAATAAATACGTTGCTCATGTAATAGTATAGGGTTGTGGTAAGGTAGTGGATTGGGCTCATGTCACACACACTTTGAGCGTCCAGAATTGTTCCTTCTGACAATTGTACTAAGCACACGTTGAATGCCACAACGGTGAAACGACGTTGGACGATATCTAAACACGACAATCACTAGTGCCTAATGGGAAACCGTTGTTGTATGGCATTGGATTGGGCCCCAATCTTGAGGGGACTTTCAACAAGCTGCATAAAGGGTAGTGGTATGAAGCACTGTGCTATCGCACAAGCGGTGATATGTTATCGACAACCAAGTCTCGACAGGGCGACGTTGCAGCGTGCAGGCTCATGGCTTGGGAGACATGGTGAAACCGTTGTGGTATGGTATTGGATTGGGCTCAATCCTTGCATGGACCATCAACATGGTGCATAAAGGGAGTGGTATGAATCTCAGGGCAATCGCACAAGCGGTGATATGTTAACGACAACCATGTCTCGACAGGGCGACGTTGCAGCGATCAAGTGTTGGCTTTGCAACCGAAGGTGAAACCGTTGTGTATTGGATTGGGCTCAATTATTGCATGGACCTTCAACATGGTCCATAAAGGGAGTGGTATGAAGCTCAGGGAAATCGCACAATTGGTGATATGTTATCGACAACCATGTCTCGACAGGGCGATCTTGCAGCGACCAGGTGTTTGGTTTGCAACCGACGGTGAAACCGTTGTGGTATGGTATTGGATTGGGCTCAATTGTTGCATGGACTTTCAACATGGTGCATAAAGGGAGTGGTATGAAGCACAGGGAAATCGCACAAGCGGTGATATGTTATCGACAACCATGTCTCAATAGGGCGACGTTGCAGCGTTCAGGCTCATGGCTTGCGAGACATGGTGAAACCGTTGTCATAAGGTATTGGATTGGGCTCAATCCTTGCATGGACCTTCAACATGGTGCATAAAGGGAGTGGTATGAATCTCAGGGCAATCGCACAAGCGGTGATATGTTATCGACAACCATGTCTCGACAGGGCGACGTTGCAGCGATCAAGTGTTGGCTTTGCAACCGACGGTGAAACCGTTGTGGTCAGTGTATTGGATTGGGCTCAATTATTGCATGGACCTTCAACATGGTCCATAAAGGGAGTGGTATGAAGCTCAGGGCAATCGCACAAGCGGTGATATGTTATCGACAACCATGTCTCGACAGGGCGACGTTGCAGCGACCAGGTGTTTGGTTTGCAACCGACGGTGAAACCGTTGTGGTATGGTATTGGATTGGGCTCAATTGTTGCATGGACTTTCAACATGGTGCATAAAGGGAGTGGTATGAAGCACAAGGCAATCACACAAGCGGTGATATGTTATCGACAACCATGTCTCGACAGGGCGTCGTTGCAGCGGTCAAGTGTTTGCTTTCCAACCGTTGAGCAGCGATGATATACTATTGCGTTGATGAACATATTCGGTTTCGGGCGTGCGTGGCTTGCTGAACATCTTACATTTAGTGGCTCTACTGGAGGCTTGGGGGGGGTTGAGGGACCCCGGCGTGTGCTCAAACAGCCATCGTCCTTGGTAACACTCTGCAAGTACATGTGCAGGTCATCTAGCCATGGCCCAAACTTGATAGGGCGCCCCTCTGCGGCACGGCAGTAACGGGCGGCGCTGCAGCAAGCAGTGCGGGAGCGTGGCGCGGCGCGGCGGTAGGCAGGACTGCGCGGCGGCGTGGCGCGGTGGTAGGCAGGGCGGCGCGGCGGGGCGGCTTGGTAGCGGGTGGTGCGGGCGGCGTGCGGTAGCGCGGCAGCGCGGGCAGCAGTGCGGGCAACAGCGCGGGCGGGCAGCAGTGCGGGCGGCAGCGCGGGGCAGCGCAGGGCAGCACATGGCAGTGCGGGCGGCAGCGCAGGCGATGGCGCGAGCAGCAGTGCGGCAGCGCAGGCTGCAGCGCGGGCGGCAGCGCGGCAGCGCAGACGGCAGCGCTTCAGCGCAACGCAGGCGGCAGCGCTCGGGGCAGCGCAGGCGGCGGCGCGGCGGGGCAGCGCGGGCGACGGCGCGAGCGGCAGCGCGCAGGGCAGCGCAGGGCAGCGCGCGGGGGGAAGCGCGGAGCACGAGGCAGCGCGCGCGGAGCAGCGCGATCAGGAGCGGCAACAGCGGCGCGGCGGTAGGCCAGCGGGTGGCAGCGGGCAGTAGTTCACAGAAAGCAGTGGCGCGCGCTAAGGCAGCAGCGCGTAGGGCAGTAGGGAAAGCAGAACGAACCAACTCGATGATACCATGTTGGAATGTAGGAACATCGGAATGATGAAACTAGGCAGCATGGGTGATACACGTATGAACCCTAAAAGGGTTATACCCCCTACAGTATGCCTCACTACAGCCTACAACACAAATATAACATTTGACAGAGACACCTGCTATAGTAACATACACATATGATAATACTACGATACTACTGTGATGTTTTACTATTCAAACTACTGAATTGTATAGGTCAATTTATCTACTCCAACAGATAAAATAATGCCTTAAAGGTCAAGGCCCAAATTGCGGGCCGCGCAGGGCAAGATTAGTAATCTTGCACAATTCTCGGTTTTTGTGGTGTATATTGGCAAAAACCTGGTCACAGTAGTTGCGACGCAATCTGATTGGTCAAAGCAACACTCACTGCCAAAGCATCAAGTTTCACAACTCTGCAATTTGGGACTCCAGGTCCCCAAACGCACGTTCCCCCCTAAAGCTTGCTGACTCAGCGAAAAGACAAGTGCTGCGGCGAAATCAGACAAGTCAACAACCCCCACCCCCCAGCACCCAAACTTGCGCAAGATTAGTAATCTTGCTTGTTGGAGTAAGCGGGAATTAACTTTAGCATTCCCGAAGGTGCAGCTGTATCGCACCCGCTACTACCGAAGCAACAACGGCAGGAGTATCGGATCAGCCCATACAGGGCAGGAAGGTCAACAATCGGAAAGGTCAACTGTCGGGACTGTTGACCCTCTGGTCCGAACGGTTACCTGCGAAGAATGGCAACAGGCGTAACTGTCTACACAGTTACACGCAGCGACCTGATAACAGGAGAAGAGCAAGAGTCATGGTTAATGTAGAGATGCCCGTATTACAGTTATAGTAAGGGAATGTACCCCTTAGAGTACATGGCTAGCTATATCTATTTATTGTGTGTAATTTTCTCTTTTGATAAATCTTGTCATCTACATTCAATATGCACAAGGTTCCTACCACTATAAAAAACTTCCGCTACCAACTCTAGCAGACTTATCCTATCCCAGGATCCTTATTCTAACATTACGCAATTTTGGCCTTGAACTTTAAGTACTTACCTTCACTTCAAAATGAAATCATATTCAAAGGGTGTGCAGTGCAACTGTGCTTTAATAGAGTGTACAGTGAACAAGTTGGGGCTCAGATGGATGTGTTGGTGCTGGTTTGATACATGCCTTAGCAAGTTCAAAGCTCTAGTAATCAGTGTTACGGTATTGGTGCTTAAAAAAAAAAAGAGAGATGGATGCTGTACCTGAATCACTGTAAATGCATCCCTTTCCTGGCAGGCCTGGCTGGCAGGCAGGCAGGCTGTTACAGAATCCTTTGGTGCAGTGTTATGATACAAAGGCGCGCATGTGGTGGTGACCTCTGCATGACTCACAAGGGACCTGCTCTAAAACCTGCTGCTGTGAGCGTTGCAAGAAGCTCCTGTGCCACAATCAGCTTCCTCACTGCCCCATCCCCCTTTTCAATCCTACACCCAACTCAGCAGTCAATGCACTGATACAAAGGCACTCGTTGGAGTCAAATCAGACTCAGAACGTGTCCGCTCCGAACCCTGCTGATGTGAGAACTGCAAGCAGATCCAGTGTCACAGTCAGCCTCCTCACTGCCCCGGCTTCCTCAGCTTCCGTCTGCCTCCACACACACTTGCTTCCACCCTACATCCAACTCGGCAGTCAGTGCCGTGTTATAACCCAATCATGTGGTGATCGTTAACTCAAGTCAGATTCAGATGGCGCCTGCTCCAAACCCTGCTGTTATGAGTGCTGCAAGTAGTTCCTGGGCCACAATCAGCCCCCTCACTGCCCCAGCTTCCTCAGCTTCCGTCTGCCTCCACACACACTTGCTTCAACCCTACACCCGAGGCAGCAGTTAATACTTTCATGTGGTGACTGTTGGGTTGACTCACACGGTGCCTGCTCCGAATTCTGCTGTTATGAGTGCAGCAAGGAGTTCCTGTGCCACAATCGGCTTCCTCACTGCTCCATCCATGCCAGCCTCCAAGCACGCTCGCTTCACTCCTGCATCCAAGTCAGCTGTCAGTGCTATGATACAAAGGCGCTCATGCGTGCTTGCAACAACTGCACTTGCTTCCGTGTTTGCATCAATTGCACTTGCTGTTGCTGTTGCTGCTGCTGCTGCATCACAGGAGGTATTGTCTCCCTCTGGCATCTCGTGTGTTGTCGGGCTGCTGCTGCTGCTGCTCCGCCGTGACCTCTCCATGGCTCGGATCCGACGAGCCGTTTCGAATCTGTTGGGAAACGGGAGGCAATGGCCGGCACGAAAGGGATGGCAACGTGGAATTGCAGGAGCAGAGCAGGTAGCAACCACAATCTCACAGTAGCAGCAATGGCAGAACAAGCAATCTCAAGAATGGTGATGGCAACAAAGCTCAAGCATGGGTGGCACGTGGATGGCCATGGAACAGCAGGCGGATGGGCGGGAGGGCGCAGCAGAGATGAAGAAAAGCACGGCACTGACCCGTCAATGCCGGGCGGCATGTGGAGGTCGAGGAGCAACAGGTGGATGGGCGGGGAGGCCGTGGGAGATGAGAAAGCAGAGGAGAGCGCTTGCAACGCATCCTCCCCGGAGCACAGCAGCAGCACGTGCGCCCCGTAGTTCTGCAGCGTTCTGCGCGCCACCATGCGGTTCACCGCGTTGTCATCCACCACCGCCACCCCGCGCCCCGCCAATACTGCTCGCACCAACCCCTCCGCCTCCCCCGCGCCCTCCGTGTGGGCGTGCAGTTTGGAGAGAGAGTGCGCGCGCGTTGCCTTCCGCCCCAACACCGCCGCTCGCGCCAGCCCCTCGAAGTCTCCCATACCTTCTGTGTGAGAATGAGGCTTGGGGAGCGAATGCGACCGTGCTGCCCGCCGCCCCGCCACCTGCTGCCCTGCTACCACTGCTCGCACCATCTGCTCTGCCTCCTCCCCGCCCTCCCCGCCCACCATGCCCCCCTCCAGGTAGCCCAGGGGTTTAAGGAGAGACTGCTCCCGTTTCGCCCACTGCTCCCGTGCTGCCCGCTGCTGCAGAGCTGCTCGCTGCTGTACTGCTGCCCGCTGGTGCAGAGGTGGGCGGTGCTGTAGTGCCGTCCGCTGCTGTGCTGCTGACAACTCGTGCAGAGGTGGCCGCTGCTGGGGTGTTTCTTTCTGCTGACTTCCTTGCGTTGCGCCACTCTCAAACGGCAGAGACTTCCCTTCAATTTTCTTCCCATGCTCTTCTTTTGCACCATCATCCCCCCCACCCCCTTCTTCGCCTTCCCTGCTGCTGGCGCCCTCCAATCCCCCCATGGGCAGCGCCAGCAGAATGGTGGTGCCGGTGGAGGCGTCAGATAGCACTGCCATGCCCCCCCGCATCTCCGCCACCTGAGGGGAGGTGGGAAGAGACGAGGAGGGGGAGGGGATGGGATATGAGGGATTTGACGCTCCAGTCTTAGAGCGTCAAAATGCAGGATAAGACGCTGACGCTTGAATAAGACGCTGGTGTCGACGCTTGACGCTCGGTGATTTGTTTTTTTTTTTGGGCTGACCGAAACAGGAACCCCCGACCAATCGCAAAATCATGAACCCATGCAACATTTCGCCCAACGAAAACGAAACCCCCCTCCCTCTCAGCCCGTCACGATTTTTTTTGGATGGTGTATGTGTTTTAGGAGTCGTGATTATCTGTCCGCCTTATTGTCGCCCTTTCCCCCTCCTCACCCCCCCGCAACGGGCATCGTGTGTTTTAGGAGTCGTAATTGATGCTTGACACGGCAACTTTCACTTAGGGGAAGAGAGGGGGATGAAAAAGATGGGATGTAAATCCAACTGGAAGGGATCTGCGAGGTAAGTCGACGGATTCGTTACGGTAAACCGCAAAAAAATCCAGATCGGTTATTAAACCCACCAAATTCACACCTAAGCACCGCGATGAGTTGGCACTCACAAGTGCAGTGGAAAGCAGGAAGCGAACCGGGTAGGGCGAGTTAAAATATATATTGTGTAGCATGCCAACACATGTGACTGTACACCAATTGTGGTGTACAGTTGGGTTGGGACTACACCCAACTTTGGGTGTAGTCTTGCACTTTGGGGTGCCAATCCACCCAATTGTGGTGGAGCCCCCAAATGCAACCCTCTTGACTTGTGGGTACCTCACTTCCCACAATTGAGGTTACCCCAAGCCAAGTGGGCCTAGGGTTGCCTCACTTCTACAAAGTGTGGGCAACCCAACCCACTTGACCTATGGTTCCCTCACTTCCCCAAGTGAGGTCAACCCAACCTATGGTCACTTTCATCCTTCCCTTCCAACCTTCCCTTCCAACTATGTATGCTAGGTTGTTCCTCTAATCTAATTACTTGTTCAATTCACAATCTTCACATGGTATAGAGCTAGTTGTTCCTAAGCCTTTTCTCTCCCTCCCTCAAAGTTTTTCTTCCTCATGGGCCCACCCCACAGCCACAAACCCCCTACGTGTGGCTCAACCTAGCATCTCCTTGGCACGACCTACGTTGTCGCCGCCCTCCCCTCCCTCCGCCGTGATTGCGCCCTCCTCGCCTGCGGATCCCACCGCCGCGAGTGCATCACCGCCCCCCGTCGCCGCGACACACCGTCGCTGCCCCCCCCCCCCCCCCCTCCCCCTTTTTTCCGCCGCCGCGCCTTCTCTGGCGCCGCCTGCACATCCCGCCGCGACGCCTCGTCGCCGCCTCCTCCTCCCCCTGCCGCGACCCCCCGTCGCCGTCTCCCTCCCGCCGCCGCGCCTACTTCGGCGTCGCCCGCGCATCCCTCCGCCGCGACGCCCCGTCGTCGCCTGCCCCTCCCGCTGCCGCGACGTCGCGTCGCCGCCTCCCCCCACCGCCGCCGCGCCTTCCTCGGCGCCGCCTGCGCATCCCGCCGCCGCGACGCCCCGTCGTCGCCTCCTGTCCCGCCGCCGCGACTTCGCGTCGCCGCCTGCACTCCCCATCGCCGCGACCCCCCGTCGCCGCCTACGCATCCCGCCGCCGCGACCCGCTCGTCGCCGCCTGCACGATCCGCCGCCGCGACTTCGCGTCGCCGCCTGCACGACCCGCCGCCGCGACTTCGCGTCGCCGCCTGCACGACCCGCCGCCGCGACTTCGCGTCGCCGCCTGCGCATCCCGCCGCCGCGACCTTCTCGTCGCCGCCTGCACCCCTTGCCGCCGCGACCTTCTCGTCGCCGCCTGCACCCCTTGCCGCCGCGACCTAAAGTCGCCGCCCGCGCGACCTCCTGCCGCGACCTGCTCGTCGCCGCCCGCACATCCCGTCGCCGCGACCTAACAATCGCCGCCCCCGCATCCTACCGCCGCGACCTGCTCGTCGCCGCCCGCGCATCCCGCCGCCGCGCCTTCCTCGTTGCCGCCCGCGCATCCCACCGCCGCGCCTTCCCCGTCGCCGCCCGCGCATCCCTCCGCCGCGCCCTCCTCGTCGCCGCTCGCTCATTCCGCCGCCACGATTCCCTCGTCGCCACCCGCGCATCCCGCCGCCGAACGTTCCTCGTAGCAGCCGCCTCATCCCGCAGCAGCAGCGTCATTGGCAGCAACAGCTTCGCCCACAGCTACACCTGCGTTCTCCCTCCCCCTCCCCCTTTCCTCCTTCTCTCCTCCCACGCAGCAGCAGCCGGGACAGCTCAGCAGCCACAGCAGCAACAGCGGCAGCAGCGGCTGCATCAGGAGCAGCGATAGCAGCGGCAGCAGCTGCATCCACCATCTTCCTCCCCCTCCTCCCCTCCCCCCCCCCCCTCCTCCCTCTCAGCAGCAGCAGCGGCAGCAGCGGCAGCAGCAGCAGCAGCCGGAGAAGAACTCCACTCCCCGCAGCAGCACCCCCCCCCCCCCCCCTCCCCCCCCCCCCCCCCCCCCCCCCCCCCCCCTCCTCCCTCTCGGCTGCCGCGGGTCCACCCGCCGTCGCCCTCCCACTTGACCGCCGCGGGTCCACCCGCCGCCGTCCACCTCGAGGCCGCCGCGGGTCCACCCGCCGTCGCCCCTCATGGCTACCACTCCTCCCCCTCTCCCCCCTCCCATTGACGCCTCCTCCGTCGACAAGCTTCAGCTTGCCGCGGACCGCTCGGCGATCAACTGGCATTCCTTCGTCGGGAGCATCCGCCGTGTTCTCCAAGATGCATTCGTCGGACCCTACTGCGTCCTTGACGTCCTCCTCCGCCGCCCGCAAGCCCTCCAGCTCACGGCACCCAATCACCCCGGCGAACCCCCTCCACCCCCCATTCCTCCTGGTCCTCCTCCTCCTGAACCCACCTTGGAGATCGCCACTTCCCCAGCGCTCCAAGATGCCGCCGATGCCGCATTTCTCCACGATCGCCGCGAATACCTCATCCGCAAGGCGGAGCATGAGGTTGCGGTACATAACCACGACTTCGCGGTAGCGGAACGCGCCAATCGCCTGGCGCTCCTTGATGAGTACAATACGGCCATGGCGGACTACCTCCCTCGGAGCATCGCATGGGCCACTGCTGACAACCGCGCCTGCACCATCCTCCTCGGCGCACTCCCTGATACCCTCATGCGCCGTTTCCAAGCTCGCGAGATGCGCGCCTCCCTCATCTGGGCCGAGCTCCAGGCCATGTTCGAGCGTCGCGACATCAGCTTTGTCGGCGCCCTGTTCCAGGAGTACTTCTCCATCACCCTCGCCACTTGTGATGGCGCAGTTGACTACGTGGGGCGCATGCAGGAGGTCGCTGATCGCCTTGCGGCACGCCAAGCTGCCCTCCCCGAGCCCCTGCAAATCCACCGCCTCCTCTACAACCTCACCCCGGACTACGAGTCCCGCCTCCATGCCTTCACTGAGGCCAACCCCATGGCCGGCCTCGACGACGTGGTCCAGTGGATCATTGACACGGAGGTCAAGCTCCGCACCCCCGTTGTCAACCTTACCACCCCTCAGTCCTCCTCCTCCACCTCCCTCAACGCTACGCAGCCGCGCAGGCCGTGGAGCGGGTGGCGGAGGCCGTGGAGCGGGTGGCGGTGGTGGTGGTGGAGGCCGTGGTGGTGGCGGTGGTGGTAGTGGTGGCCGTGGTGGCCGTGGTGGCGGTGGTGGTGGTGCTGGCAGCGCCCCTGCTGGAGGTGCTGTGACTCGAGGCGGACGCCCTGGCACTCTCCCCCCATGCACATATGTGCGTCGCCATGGTCCCCATGCAGGTACCCCTTGCGGCCAGACCAACCATCCCCCCACCACGTGCTTTAAGGCACTCGACGACGCCTGGTTTGATCGCGGCAACACTGGCACCCCTCCTCGCTGGAACTCGGTCACACCTCGCCCCTCCTTAGTGGACATTCAAACCCTCCCCTCTTTCCTTCCTGCTCACCTCCGCATGGTTACCCCCTCCCCACCCTCACAGCTGCAGCAGTTTCAACAGCACCAGCAGCAGCAGCACCTGTACTTCCACCAGCAGCAGCAGCAGCCGCAGTTTCTCCAGCCCCAGCAGCCGCCGCCGCCGCAGTTCTTCCAGCCACCGCCGCAGCAGCAGCAGCAGTTCCTTCCCCCACCCTGGCAGCAGCAGCCACTCACCTTCGGCACAGCGGCCATGGCCGCTCATACCTCCCTTCCTCCTCCTCCCCCCTGGGGTTCCCTCCCCTCTGCCCCCCCCAGTGTTCCCGACACTTCTGGTAGTTTCCTTGGTAATATCAGTGTTGCACCGTCCGTCGCTGCCATGTATCCCTCTGCTATCAATGAGACTTCGTTTCAGTACCCCGTCCCACCCCCTCCTCCCTCTTCTCCCACCCTGGACTTTGTCCTTGACAGTGGAGCCACTGAAACCGCACTGAAAGACGCTGGCACTCTCACCCCACTACCACTTCCCACTCAGGTTCATGGGGTTGATTCCAGCTTTTCCATTCCATGCACTCACCTCTCCACCCTCCCTTGCACTGCCTTCCCCTCCGGTAAGGTCACAGGTCTCCACATCCCCACTCTCCGCAACAACCTCCTCTCCCACCGTGAGCTCCAAGGTGTTGGTATCACTGCCATTTACCCCGGTTATGCCAATTACTGTGATCTCTACCAAACCTCCTCCGGTCGCTTCCTTCTCCGCATTCCGCTTTGCCCCCGCACTCGCCTCTACACACTCCGCACGCCTCGCCCATCCTTCTGCCACGTCACCACTCGTTCCGGTGCTTCCACCGGTCCACCTCCTCCTCCTTTACTTCCCCCTTCCCCTCCCCCTCAAGTATCCTCTTCTCCCTCCCCACCATCCTCCTCCTCCCCTCCCGTTCCTTCCATCACCCCATCTCCCTCCTCCTCCACTACCCTCTCCCACCCTGCTGTCCTCTTACACCACAGACTCGGCCATCCCAACTTCACCGCCCTTCGCACCACAGTCACCTCTCGCCTCCTCCGCAGCCTTCCTCCTGTTTTACCTCCCCTCCCCTCCTCCCCCTCTCCCCCATGCCCTTCATGCATTCACGGCAAGCTCAAACAGTCCCCCCACCACAGTCATCCCACCTTCGCCGCCGCCCCCATTGACCTTGTGCACGTGGACCTCTGGGGCCCCTATCCCATCCGCTCCCGCCAGGGGCATCGGTACATGCTCGTCCTCGTTGACGACCACAGCCGGTACTCCACCACCTTCTTCCTTCACACGAAAGACCAGGTGCCGGCAGTGGTCATCAACTGGGCCGAACAGTGCCGCAATCACTTCAAACGCCCCATCGGCCGCCTTCACTCTGACGGTGGGGGTGAGTTCATCAATAACACCCTTGCCACATACTGCAACACCTACGGCATCCAACAGACCTCCACCCTTCCCCACTCCCCTCAGCAGAACGGCATTGCTGAGAGCCGCATTCGTGAGATCACCAAGATAGCTCGCTGTCTCATTGCTCATGCCTCCACCCCTCCTTCCCTCTGGAGCTATGCCCTCCTCCACGCCGCTCTTCTCCTTAATCTCCGCTCCCACCCTCAGCATCCTTCCTCCTCCCCTACAGAGCTTTGGTCCAACGCCAAACCCGACGCTGCCGGCCTTCGCGTTTGGGGCTGCAAGGCCTTCGTTCTCATCCCACCCGCCGACCGCTCCCGCGCCGCTGGCAAGCTTGCTCCTCGCGCCCTGGAATGCGTTTACCTTGGGCACAATCGCGACTCCCCAGGCTACCTCTTCCTCCACCCTCCCACCAATCGCCTCATCCGCAGCGGCGACGTCGTCTTCGACGAATCCGTCCCCTATTACTCCACTCCTCCCCCTGATCCTCTCCCTCCTCCCACTCGTCCCCTTGCTTGGACCGACACCGTCCTCCCGCCCCTTCTCCCTCCAGCCCCTCTCCTCCCACCCGTCGCAGCTCCGCTCCCGCCCTCCTCCTCCGCCGATGTCTACGACCCTGCCGCACCCGCTTCCCCCGCTCACTCGGCCGCACCCCCTCCCCCCCCCTCCCTCCTCCTCTCCCTCTCCCTCCTTCCAGCAGCCGGATCAGCAGCAGCAGCAGCAGCAGCAGCAGCCGCAGCAGCAACAGCAGCAGCAGCAGCAGCCGGGACAGCAGCCGGGGCAGCAGCAGCAGCAGCAGCCGGGCCAGCAGCAGCAGCAGCCGGGCCAGCAGCAGCAGCAGCAGCCGGGCCAGCAGCAGCAGCAGCAGCGGCAGCCGGGACAGCAGCAGCAGCAGCAGCAGCAGCAGCAGCGGCAGCAGCAGCAGCAGCAGCCTCAGCAGCCTCAGCAGCCGCAGCACCAGCACGGTCAGCCGCAGCCGCAGCAACAAGGGCAGCAGCTTCCGCAGCATCAGCAGCAGCAGCGGCGTCGTGCCACTTCCCGTTCCTCCCCCTTCCTCCTCCCTTACATCCATACCCGCTCTGTGGACAAAATCCTTGGGGCTCCTCCTCCTGCCTCCATTCAGCTCCTTGAGGACTCCCATGAGGAGTTTCTTAACATTCGGGAGCACACTCCATTCCTTGCCGCCCTCTACCTTGACTTCCTGGGCTTTCCTGTCCTTGGCGCCACTACTACCCCCACCATCTTCACTCCCTCCACCTTCCAGGAAGCCATCACCTGCCCTGATGCGGATAAATGGATAGCAGCGATCTTCCTAGAGTGTGAGGCTTTCATTCGCAACGACTCCTTTGTCGATGTCCCCCTCCCTGCTGGCGCTAATCTCGTTGACGGCAAATGGGTCTTTCGGGTGAAGCAGCTGCCGGGCGAGGAACCAGTGTACAAGGCCCGCTACTGCGTCAAGGGGTTCACGCAGACTTGGGCTGAGGACTACTGGTTCACCTACGCCCCCACCGCCAAACCACCCACCCTTCGCGCCGCCATGGACATTGGTGCACGTGACGACATGGAAATCGACTCCATGGACGTCTCCAATGCGTTCCTGCAGGGCGACCTGCATGAGCGCATTTTCCTCCGGCGACCCCCCGGGTTCCACGCAGCCTTTCCTGAGAACACTGTCTGGCAGCTGCGTCGCCCCGTCTACGGCTTGAAGCAGGCACCGCGTGAGTGGTATGCGAAGCTGGCTGCCACCTTGGGGTCCCTCGGCTTCTCTGCTTCCCACTCCGACGCCAGCCTCTTCATCCGCTCCTCCCCCCGCCGCTTCTTCATTCTGGTATATGTCGACGACATGATCCTGCTCTCTGACACCAAGGCCGACATGGGGCAGGTGAAGCTGTCCCTGCAGCAGCGGCTCAAGTGCAAAGACCTTGGCGCCCTCACTCACTACCTCGGCATGACCATCACGCGCAACCGCCCTGCTCGCACAATCACCCTCTCCCAGTCCCATTACATCGGCCAGGTCTTGGAGAAGTTCGACATGGCGCAAGCCAAGCCTGTTTCCACCCCGCTCCCCTTCGGTCACCAACTCGCTCCACCCACCTCCCCCACCTCCTCCCCCCACCCCTATGCCGAGCTCGTTGGGTCCTTGATGTACGCAATGATGTGCACCCGCCCCGACCTCGCCTACCCCATCAGCGTGCTCGCTCGCTTTGTCGGCACCGGTCGTCACTCTGAGGAGCACTGGAAAGCTGCCAAGCGGGTCCTCTGCTACCTTCGCGGGACCAGGGACCTTGCCCTCACCCTCGGCGGCCCTTCCCGTCCCCTTCTCTCGGGCTTCAGTGACTCCTCATGGGCTGACACGCAGCCGGACCGCCGCTCCTCCCAGGGCTACGGCTTCACCCTTGGCAGCGGCCTCATCAGCTGGCGCTCCACCCGCTCCTCCGCCATCTCTCTCTCCACCTGCGAAGCCGAGCTCTACGCTGGCACCATGGCCGCCCAGGAGTCGCGCTGGCTCTGCTTCCTTCTTGCGGAGCTTGGCGCCCCCCAGACGTGCCCCACTCTCTGGTGCGACAACGCCAGCACCATCCATCTCACTCAGGACCCCGTCTATCACGCCCGCTCCAAGCACATCGAACTCCGCTACTTCTTCGTTCGCGAGCTCGTCCAGAAGGGCCTCATTGCCGTTCGCAAGATTGCAACCGAGGCCAACTTGGCCGACATCTTCACTAAGGCCCTCCTTCGCCTCGCGCACTCTGCCTTCCTCCGCCTCATTGGCCTTGCTCGCCCGGGCGCCCCTTGATTCAGGGGTTGTTCTCTTCTTGTGTTAGCATGCTAAGGGGTTGTGTTAAAATATATATTGTGTAGCATGCCAACACATGTGACTGTACACCAATTGTGGTGTACAGTTGGGTTGGGACTACACCCAACTTTGGGTGTAGTCTTGCACTTTGGGGTGCCAATCCACCCAATTGTGGTGGAGCCCCCAAATGCAACCCTCTTGACTTGTGGGTACCTCACTTCCCACAATTGAGGTTACCCCAAGCCAAGTGGGCCTAGGGTTGCCTCACTTCTACAAAGTGTGGGCAACCCAACCCACTTGACCTATGGTTCCCTCACTTCCCCAAGTGAGGTCAACCCAACCTATGGTCACTTTCATCCTTCCCTTCCAACCTTCCCTTCCAACTATGTATGCTAGGTTGTTCCTCTAATCTAATTACTTGTTCAATTCACAATCTTCACAGGGCGTCCAGCGTGGGCGAGCAGCTGCCTTCTGCTCGTGCGTGAGAGCGGTGGCTGTGGATGGTGGCCTGCTGGTGCGGCGCATGAGAGGGAAGGGAAAGAAACTGCCCTGCTGGAGGGTGGACGCGCACAGGGGAGGAGGAAATCAAAAGGCGCAAGGGGGAGATTGATTACGCTGGTGAAGTGCTCGCTTGCTATCACATGCCTCTCAACGCGCGGATAGCACCTTGCACTTCCTGGATAAACCAGAATACTGGGAGAAGTCCAAGCCAAGGTGGAGCTAAGGTAGCAGCAATCCTGTGTGTCCCAACGAACTCACCTTCACGCCTTGGCCAATCCGATCATCGCCATCACCATCGCCATCACCATCACCATCACCATCACCATCGCCATCACCATCACCATCACCATCGCCATCACCATCACCATCAGCAGCAGCAGAAGCAGGCAGTGCATGAGAGGTGTGAGCGGCATGGTGGGAGTCTCCATGTGGATCCAGCACCCACCGCATCTCCTCGGGTGGTATTCCACCACCCATATCCTCACATGCCACCACCACCATCCACTCGCCCTCCTCCCTCGCCGCACACGCCTCCTCCACCCATTTCCTCACCTCCTCCTCCAACCGCTCAGCCCCACCCAGTGCCTCCCCTCCTCCCCTCTCGTTTAATTCTATGGAATCCCCAATACATGGCCCCCCCATGCCTGCGGCCCCCATGCCTGTCGTCCCCATGCCTGCCGCTCCCATGCCTGTTGCCGCTGCTACACGCCTGCAGCACCGCTCGACACACCCCATCCGCCGCTGCTCGTCGCCCGCTCCGCTTTCGCCCCCCCCGCCGGCCCGTCCCCCCTGGGTCTGAGGGAGGCACGCGAGGGCGGTGGGAGGAGGGAAGCGGCGCACACAGGCAGCCAGCTGGTGCCATGCGGAGTAGCCCCCAGGTGCAGCGGGATAGCCAGGTGGATACGAGGGAGGCTGAGAGGCAGGTGAGCCTGGCAGCGCATGTACGGGGGCAGCACTAGTGGATGGGCCGTGCAGATTGAAACAGTTGATGGAAGCGGGGTGGGGAGGGGGAGGAGGGATGCAGCAGACATGGAAGGTCACGTGGCCTCCTGTGGTGTTGCCGATGGCGTGGGCTGTGAGAGAGCGGGGGGTTGAAGTGGACAAGCGCACGCACGGGGCGTTGGAGTAAAAAACGGGAGGGTAAGTCGATAGGTGCTGAAAAGAGGGTGGTGTAACGAGTTTTCGTGAAGGGCTGTGATCAAGGCTGTTCTCACACCTGTTAGTGAGTGATCAAGGCTGTTCTCAGACCTGTTAGTGAGTGCTGGACTATAGGGATGTTATAGAGGCTGGTATCACAGGCTGTCAAAAAAGGACAAAGACGGATGCTTCAAGGACATGCCGCCAAGGAGATAGTTGCAGGGAGGTGATTGGGAAGTCTCACAAGTACGGCACGCACATACAAGGCTGTAACGTAGGTACGTGAGCATGTAGTACAAGCTCGTACGATACAAATACGCGAATATTCCAACACAGCGTTGCGCCTCTCAGGCGTACGCGGCACATACAAGGAACATACAAGGCACATACAAGGCACATACAAGGCACATACAAGGCACATACAAGGCACATACAAGGCACATACAAGGCACATACAAGGCACATACAAGGCACATACAAGGCACATACAAGGCACATACAAGGCACATACAAGGCACATACAAGGCACATACAAGGCACATACAAGGCACATACAAGGCACATACAAGGCACATACAAGGCACATACAAGGCACATACAAGGCACAATACAAGGCACATACAAGGCACATACAAGGCACATACAAGGCACATACAAGGCACATACAAGGCACATACAAGGCACATACAAGGCACATACAAGGCACATACAAGGCACATACAAGGCACATACAAGGCACATACAAGGCACATACAAGGCACATACAAGGCACATACAAGGCACAATACAAGGCACATACAAGGCACAATACAAGGCACATACAAGGCACATACAAGGCACATACAAGGCACATACAAGGCACATACAAGGCACATACAAGGCACATACAAGGCACATACAAGGCACATACAAGGCACATACAAGGCACATACAAGGCACAATAAGGCACATACAAGGCACAATACAAGGCACATACAAGGCACGTACAAGGCACATACAAGGCACATACAAGGCACATACAAGGCACATACAAGGCACATACAAGGCACATACAAGGCACATACAAGGCACATACAAGGCACAATACAAGGCACATACAAGGCACAATACAAGGCACATACAAGGCACATACAAGGCACATACAAGGCACATACAAGGCACGTACAAGGCACATACAAGGCACATGCAAGGCACATGCAAGGCACATACAAGGCACATGCAAGGCACATACAAGGCACATGCAAGGCACATGCAAGGCACATACAAGGCTCATACAAGGCACATACAAGGCACATACAAGGCACATACAAGGCTCATACAAGGCATGTACAAGGCATGTACAAGGTACATACAAGGCACATGCAAGGCACATGCAAGGCACATGCAAGGCACATGCAAGGCACATGCAAGGCACATGCAAGGCACATGCAAGGCACATGCAAGGCACAATACAAGGCACATACAAGGCACATACAAGGCACGTACAAGGCACATACAAGGCATATACAAGGCACATGGAAGGCACATGCAAGGCACATGCAAGGCACATACAAGGCTGTAACGTAGGTATGTGAGCATGTAGTACAAGCTCGTACGATACAAATACGCGAATATTCCAACACAGCGTTGCGCCTCTCAGGCGTACGCGGCACATACAAGGAACATACAAGGCACAATACAAGGCACATACAAGGCACATACAAGGCACGTACAAGGCACATACAAGGCATATTCAAGGCACAGGCACATGCAAGGCACATGCAAGGCACATACAAGGCTGTAACGTAGGTACGTGAGCATGTAGTACAAGCTCGTACGATACAAATACGCGAATATTCCAACACAGCGTTGCGCCTCTCAGGCGTACGCGGCACATACAAGGAACATACAAGGCACATACAAGGCACATACAAGGCACATACAAGGCACATACAAGGCACATACAAGGCACATACAAGGCACATACAAGGCACATACAAGGCACATACAAGGCACATACAAGGCACATACAAGGCACATACAAGGCACATACAAGGCACATACAAGGCACATACAAGGCACATACAAGGCACATACAAGGCACATACAAGGCACATACAAGGCACATACAAGGCACATACAAGGCACATACAAGGCACATACAAGGCACATACAAGGCACATACAAGGCACATACAAGGCACATACAAGGCACATACAAGGCACATACAAGGCACATACAAGGCACATACAAGGCACATACAAGGCACATACAAGGCACATACAAGGCACATACAAGGCACATACAAGGCACATACAAGGCACATACAAGGCACATACAAGGCACATACAAGGCACATACAAGGCACATACAAGGCACATACAAGGCACATACAAGGCACATACAAGGCACATACAAGGCACATACAAGGCACATACAAGGCACATACAAGGCACATACAAGGCACATACAAGGCACATACAAGGCACATACAAGGCACATACAAGGCACATACAAGGCACATACAAGGCACATACAAGGCACATACAAGGCACATACAAGGCACATACAAGGCACATACAAGGCACATACAAGGCACATACAAGGCACATACAAGGCACATACAAGGCTCATACAAGGCACATACAAGGCACATACAAGGCTCATACAAGGCACATACAAGGCACATACAAGGCACATACAAGGCACATACAAGGCACATACAAGGCTCATACAAGGCACATGCAAGGCACATACAAGGCTCATACAAGGCACATACAAGGCTCATACAAGGCACATACAAGGCACATACAAGGCACATACAAGGCTCATACAAGGCACATACAAGGCACATACAAGGCACATACAAGGCACATACAAGGCACATACAAGGCACATACAAGGCACATACAAGGCACATACAAGGCACATACAAGGCACATACAAGGCACATACGGCTCATACAAGGCACATACAAGGCACATACAAGGCTCATACAAGGCACATACAAGGCACATACAAGGCACATACAAGGCACATACAAGGCACATACAAGGCTCATACAAGGCACATGCAAGGCACATACAAGGCTCATACAAGGCACATACAAGGCTCATACAAGGCACATACAAGGCACATACAAGGCACATACAAGGCTCATACAAGGCACATACAAGGCACATACAAGGCACATACAAGGCTCATACAAGGCACATACAAGGCACATACAAGGCACATACAAGGCTCATACAAGGCACATACAAGGCACATACAAGGCACATATAAGGCTCATACAAGGCATGTACAAGGCATGTACAAGGTACATACAAGGCACATGCAAGGCACATGCAAGGCACATGCAAGGCACATGCAAGGCACATGCAAGGCACATGCAAGGCACATGCAAGGCACATGCAAGGCACATGCAAGGCACAATACAAGGCACATACAAGGCACATGCAAGGCACATACAAGGCACGTACAAGGCACATACAAGGCATATACAAGGCACATGGAAGGCACATGCAAGGCACATGCAAGGCACATACAAGGCACATACAAGGCACCTACAAGGCACATGCAAGGCACATGCAAGGCACATGCAAGGCACATACAAGGCACATGCAAGGCACACACAAGGCACACACAAGGCACACACAAGGCACATACAAGGCACATACAAGGCACATACAAGGCACGTGCAAGGCACGTGCAAGGCACGTGCAAGGCACGTGCAAGGCACATACAAGGCATATACAAGGCACATAGAAGGCACATGCAAGGCACATGCAAGGCACATACAAGGCACATGCAAGGCACATGCAAGGCACACACAAGGCACACACAAGGCACATACAAGGCATATACAAGGCACATGGAAGGCACATGCAAGGCACATGCAAGGCACATACAAGGCACATGCAAGGCACATGCAAGGCACACACAAGGCACACACAAGGCACATACAAGGCACATACAAGGCACATACAAGGCACGTACAAGGCACACACAAGGCACACACAAGGCACATACAAGGCACATACAAGGCACGTACAAGGCACGTGCAAGGCACATACAAGGCACATACAAGGCACATGCAAGGTACATACAAGGCACGTACAAGGCACGTACAAGGCACGTGCAAGGTACATACAAGGCATATACAAGGCACACGGAAGGCACATGCAAGGCACATGCAAGGCACATACAAGGCACATACAAGGCACACACAAGGCACACACAAGGCACACACAAGGCACATACAAGGCACATACAAGGCACATACAAGGCACGTACAAGGCACATACAAGGAACATACAAGGCACGTACAAGGCACATATTACAGTTCAGGGCAGCACTGTGCGATGCTGTCAATAACCTGGCACTCACCCGTGAGCTCCCCAATGACTTGTGAGAGGCGCGTCGGATCCCCCATGAGGACAGCTGGCACACTCTCGTCCACATGGCATGTCACTGCAGCGCGGCGCACAGCAAGATAAGGCAAAACCAGGAAACAGCAATGAGGTGGAATGCATGGCATGCGTTGAACCAACTCGAAAGCAGTTGGTGCATAGAAAGCAAGCACGCTCATACCGTGCGACTCTTTTGTTTGCGCATCCGAGGCAGCGAGTGCAGTGGCCTCGTGAACGATGCGGCGCAGGCAGCACGGGAGAGTCTCGAGCTGCAGCCTGCCGGCCTGCAGCTTGGCGAGGTCCAACACTCGGTTGATGAGCTCCACTGTCTCGCCCGCACACGCCCTCGCCACCTGAAGGTCCGCCACCTGCCACTCCTCCAATGATGAGTCCAACAGTTCCTCTATCATGCCTGTGTGGGAGGGGAAGGGTGGGTTGGGGGGAGGGGGAGGGGAGGGGAAGAGGGGGGGAGAGGGGAGAGGGGGGGAATGGTTAGAAGGGGGGGCTGCAGCTTGGCGAGGTCCAACACTCGGTTGATGAGCTGAGCTCCACTGTCTCGCCCGCACACGCCCTCGCCACCCGCAGGTCCGCCACCTGCCACTCCTCCAACTGTGACTCCAGCAGCTCCTCTATCATGCCTGTACAAAGGGAGGGGCATAAGAGCACAATGGGCGTGTTAGAGAGATTTGGCGTGCTGGTGCTCTAGCTGGGGTTGAGCCAAAAGAGCTCACTCACGCGAGTCAATGTGAGTCAGTAATATACTGGCTGATTCATGAAGCATCTACTTACTTTTGGCTTCCGCCCACCGGAAGCGTGCAGGAATGGCATGAAACGGCCGTGTCTCCAGCAGGTCAGGACAACCCCCCTCACACATTTACAGCTTCACCAATCGTACGATTGATTGGCGCAGCTCACACATCTACAGCCTCACTCACCGATCATGCCGATGATTGGGGTGCGCAGCTCATGCGAGGTGTTGGCCACCGTCTCACTCTTGGATCGCTCGGCCTTCTCCAGCGCCGCCGTGCACAGCTGTATCTCGCTCACCGCCTCTGCCATCTGCTGCTGCTTCCATGCCAGCACCGCAATGACAGCAGACAGCAGCAGGGCCACGAGCAGCACGAGCAGGCCCAGCAGCATGGGCGCATACACGAGCTCCCACTTGGGGTAGGCGCCCTCAAACCTGCATCTTGGATTTCAAGTGACAAAGGCAGGATACAGGTGAAACCTACGAAGATCATGTAGCAGTGGGGTGATGCAGCAGTGAACTCCCTAGCCTCACTTGCAGTGCCTCCCTGCCTCACCTGCAGTGCGCCTCATACTTGCGGCCCAGCAGGTCTTCGGGAAAGGGCTCGACATGCTTGGGGTACGGCATGACTGGCCCAGGCAGCACGTAGGGGTAGAACGACCCATTCTCCACTCGCAGGGGCTCCGGGCCGAGCACTTGAATGGGCTGTGCAGGGTCGGTGGTGTCGTACAAGGCCAACGAGTAGGGGGGGCCTGTGCCTGCACGCCATAACACACACATGCATGCGACGAGCCAGACACGCATGGCATTAGGCACAACACGCATGGCATTAGGCACACACATTCCACCAGATGCACAGCCACAGCAGCAGGCAGCAACTGTGTACAAGGAAACACACTAGAACGCGCGGGAGCAGGCTGGAAGGCTGGTCAAGATCGTTGCAATGAAGGGCTTAACTGGGGAAGAAGAAGAGCGATGGGGAAAAAGAGGAGCGATGGGGAAAAAGAGGAGGGATGGGGAAAAAGAGGAGCGATGGGGAAAAAGAGGAGGGATGGGGAAAAAGAGGAGCGATGGGGAAAAAGAGGAGGGATGGGGAAAAAGAGGAGCGATGGGGAAAAAGAGGAGGGATGGGGAAAAAGAGGAGCGATGGGGAAAAAGAGGAGCGATGGGGAAAAAGAGGAGTGATGGGGAAAAAGAGGAGAGATGGGGAAAAAGAGGAGCGATGGGGAAAAAGAGGAGCGATGGGGTTAAGGGCAGTGATAGGGTAGAGGGCAGGGCAGTGCCACAGTAATGGGAAATAGGAGGATAATGGGGAAGAAGGGGGTGAAGGGGAGGAGACGGAACCATTATGAAGCAGAGCAAGGAGGTTCGTCATTTCCTCCTGGAGGAAGTAGAATCCCGCCCACACGGTGCTCACACTCTCCCTCAGCTGCTCTGCTGTCGCGTCCGGCGGCACGGGATGGCGCCGGATGGGCACCATCATCACTGCATGCATGCATGGAAGGATGGATGGATGGATGGATGGATGGATGGATGGATGGATGGATGGATGGACGGATGGATGGATCATGGCACATATGGGGATGGACAGGACAGCACATAGGTATGGCACACAGGGATGGCACACAGGGATGGCACACAGTAACAGCATATTCTGAGATAAGCCCAGCCTGGATGCATTCCTCGGTGAGCACAGGGCAGGGTAGCGTAAAAAACGGTCGTACAAAACGGTTTGATACGGTTCCTGGAGGTGTTTCCTGGAGGTGATGGCACAGAGTTCCAAGTCGGCAAGTTACTTACACGGTGTTCAACCCTTTCTTGCATGTTATATCCATGAGTGAACATATATCCAACCTTTTTTCCCTCTTTCTTTTTTTTTGGTAACCAGACTTCTCTAACAAAAAAGGAACCGTTTTCTTTTGAATGACTGTAATAAACGGACCGCATTTTACGGAAACCGTAATTTTGAACCTTGCCAGTGAGTGTGTGTGGAGGGGAGGGGGGGAGGGAGGAGGGGGGGTTGGGCACCAAGCCTCGCAACGTGCAGGACCACGTTCCCTGATTCCCAAAACTGCAGTCATGCTAAAAAAAGGCGTTCCCTGGCTTGCACACTCCCCCCAACCGCTCTGAAGCTCTTCCCCTCTCCTCCCCAACCCAATCCTGATACTTCCCCCATTACTTACACATATCCAAGCTAGCTCACACAGCCACCACCGGTGCCCAGTCCTACACACCCACCCACCAGTGCCCACTCGATGTTTGCCGAAGAAAATAGGCGGGGAGGAGCCAGGGGTGCCAAGGAGCAAGGAGGGGAGGACGGATGGGTGCACGCTGGCGGAGAAGTCAGTGAACGGCAGGATGGGGTCGGCAGGGTCGATGCCGCCCAGCACGTTCACGATGTACAGCGCCTTGCGCGAGGCTGGCAGGCCCAGTAGTGTCACGATGGGGCGCCCTGTGATGCGCTCCACCACTGGCCTGTGGAGAGGGGAGGGGAGGGGAGGGGAGGGGAGGGGAGGGGAGGGGAGGGGAGGGGAGGGGAGGGGAGGGGAGGGGAGGGGGCGGGCAGGGGCAGGCGCATGGCTACTTTTGAGAATTCTCAAAACCGACTCCATGATGGGGCGCCCTGTGATGCGCTCCACCACTGGCCTGAAAGGGGGGTGCGGGCAGGCGGGCGCATGGTCAGGCACTCAGGCGGGAGGCAGGAAGAGCAAGTGGAACGGAGAAAAGCAAACATATACATATGGCACGGTCAGCAAGCAGGCAGGCGTCAGCAAGGGCTGTCCTGCAGCTAGGCCATTCGATTCCACCCAGCCCTACAGTCTGGGGCGAGCCCGACCGCTTGTCACGTCGGCTTAGCTCTAGCCCGCCCAGCCCAGGATGACTCGATGAAACGTACGCCGTTGAAGCCCGACGGCCAAGTTATGAGGCGCCTCAACAGCGCTTTCGCACCGCCAAGCAGACCCTGGATCGGGCCATGCCGAGGCCCGTCCCCAACCTACTCCTCCCCACCATCGCCCTCTCTTCCGCTCCTCCTTCCTCGTTTTCTCGCTGTCACTTTCTCTCTGCCTGTCCCCCTCTCACACACACCTGTCATGCCTGGGCCCCACATGCCCAGCAGCTCCATGCACACCGTGCTAACCCCTTCTGCTGCGCTCCCCCTTCCGCTCAACGTCCCCTTTCCCCCTTCCTCCCTCTCCCCACCCCACTTCCCGTCCTCATCGTCGCTCTCTTGCTCTCCTTCCCTCTCGCCTCCTCTCCCACACACCTGTCAGCGTCCTCCACGAGCATGATGAGAGTGCCGGTGGTGAGGTCGGACATGCCCATGGTAGCGGCGTTGTACAGCTCCATGCTGCGGTTGTCCGCACACCCCGCCAGCCCCCAGTAGGTGAGGTTGGTGCTGCTGCGCTCGCCGTACCCGTTGAACACGCGCACCAACGCCGACATCTCCTGCCCTCACAGCCCGCCCCGCAAGGCGAAGCACAATTTGGGGGGGGGGAGGGAAGAGGGGGGGGAGGGGGTGGGGGGGACGGGACGAGGAGGGAAAGCAGAAAGATCCCGTTGAACACGCGCACCAGCGCTGACATCTCCTGCCCTCGCAACGCAAGGGAGGATGCAGAAACGTGGCGGAGGGGAGAGAAGGCCGTGGCAGCAAGCATGACATGCATGCGTGCACGGAAGGGCATGGCAAGGGGGCAAGGGATGGGTGCGACTGGAGAGTGCTGGTCGGAGCAATCGCGCTGAACCCAGCTACTTCTTCCCCAGCCCCCCCAACCCCTCTCATTCCTATGCCGCCTCGCCTCCCGTCCCTCTCCTCTACGCCCCTCCTCTCCTCTCCGCCTCTCTCCTTTCCGCCCCTCTCCTTTCCGCCCCTCTCCTCTCCGCCCTCTCCTCTGCTCCCCTCTCCTTTCCGCCCCTCTTCTCTCCGCCCCTCTCCTTTCCGCCCCTCTCTTTTCCCTCTCCTTTCCGCCCCTCTCCGCGACGCCCCTCTCCTCTCCGCCCCTCTCCTTTCCGCTCCTCTCCTCTCCGACCCTCTCCTTTCCGCCCCTCTCCTTTCCGCCTCTCTCCTCTCCGCCCCTCTCCATTTCGCCCCTCTCCTCTCCGCCCCTCTCCTCTGCGCCTCTCTCCTTTCCGCCCCTCTCCGCGACGCCCCTCTCCTTGGGTGAAGAACAAGGGGTCGGCGCAGAAGGGGGCGGCTAGAGCGGAAGGCATTTGCTTTCCGTCTGATAACAAGGCATTTCAAGGGAACAGCATATCGAGGGAACAGCATTTCGAGGGCCTCAAACGGCGTTCCGAGGGCCTCAAACGGCGTTCCGAGGGCCTCAAACGGCGTTTCGAGGGCCTCAAACGGCGTTTCGAGGGCCTCAAACGGCGTTTCGAGGGTCTCAAACGGAATCTGAGGGTCTCAAACAGTTCTGAGTGCCTCAAACGGAATCTGAGGGCCCCAAACGGACTTTAAGGGCCCTCAAACCGCATTTGAGGACCTTGAACGGCATTTCGCGTGCCTCAAGGTGCAACGGGAGAGCCAGCGCGGCTGATGAATGCCGCCGGTGTCAGTTGTGCCGTGGTCGACGAGGCAAGTGCGCCACCCGCACAGTTTGTCTCTCGTCACTGCTACTGCTGGCAGCAATGCCGTGCGTTGCTGTGGGGTATCGCACCTGCACGCGCGAGACGGACGAGAGAAGGCGCTGGTAGAAGTAGCGCACGCGCAAGCGGCACCACCCGCGCATCGCCTCCTCCCGCGGATTGGCGGCCCTGCGTGTGCGCGAACCACACCACCCACGCGCACAGGCCCAACCATCCCGCCACCCATGCCGCCGCTAGCAGCGCCCTTCCCAAGCCCCACGGCACGCCTCGCGGCGAAAGTCGCCAAGTTCGGCGCATGAGACTGGCGGAGGTGTTGGTAGAAGCAAGAAGAGTGAGCACAGGATGAGTGGATGGAATGGGGAGGGAGGAAGAATGGATGGAAAAAAGAGGTTTCAGGGGTCGGTTGGGTATAAAAATATTGAAGAAACATTTTCTTGGCTTGTTTGTATTGTTGGATGTGTGGTGGCAAGGTGGGAAGGGATGCCCCATTGATGTGACAAATCGCAGCAGATCCGTTCCGCACCACCACACGATCAATGCACATTGGTGGATGGCTGATATTTTGAATACATGGCGCAGGACCAACTGGGAAATCGGACGGGAGGTAAAGGGAACGGAACTGAAAACCGTCTGCAGTAGAGTATATCCTCCTTCAAACGTCGTCGGGAAGGCATCAACTTTAAACATGTGGCAAAAGGGTAGGTTTACACCAGTATACCACTGTTTGCTTCTGCCCGCTGTCCGGATCTGCTAGGTGTTGAGGATGGTGGCGGTTTTCCCTTCCCCCCCCCATCGTCACGGTCCGTCTAAGAGCGAATTCCTAGGCACGGACACCATCCGAACTCTGGACATGTTCAACGTTTTTTTATGCTGTACGCCTACTCCCCCGAAGAAACCTGACCCAGAAAACCATGCGTAGGAATTCGCCCCAACTGTCGAACTGTCGACCCCGCAGGTGTAGCTGCGCGATAGTAACAACTCCACAATCCAAATATTGCCCAATCACCCTTACAATGTTACAATGACAATGCCCCTGAGCTTGCTACCATTGATTTCATCACGCAACTTCAGCATCACATTTTCTGAAGCACACGTGTCAGTTGACTTCGACGACTGTTACGAATAGTAATTGACGAAGCATTACTGTGCACTCCTTACCGTAGCAAACGAAGCACGCACTACCGAGGCTGAAGACGAAAAGGCGGAAGTGACGCGAAGGGTCGCACGGTTACGAAAGGATCTGGACCGTCGGGCAGACATCATCAGGCAGCAGCAGTGGCAAGGATTCTGCCCAGGCAGTTCGTAACCGTCTGGAGTCGCACGGTTGGGTTTCGCTGCAATAAGGGAATGTACCCCTTAGAGTACATGGCTAGACTAGGTCGATTGGTATTCCCTTGTACTCTTATTTATATTCGTGTACTTGCATGTTCTTATCATCTCAAGCATTTTACATCCACTCTGCTATTGAGGTCAAGGGCCCACCACCACTACTCAGACGTGTGCGAACATTCATGAGGTGCTCCTAGGGTCGATCAGCAGCTGATCGCTACATGGTATGAGAGCGACTCAGGAATCCTTCGCACCGCCACCTCCGAAATCTTCGACGAACGGAAAGTGGCGTCCGGCACACGCTCGCGTGTGAGAATGGCCGGAGGATCTGGTGGTCAGACGAATCTGACGGCTGAAGCGCAGGCCAACCCGGCTGCGACAAGCGAGGAAACGACGACGATTGGAACCGCCGCCTCCGCACAGATGCTTCAGCGACTCACCAGCCTGGAGCAACAACTCCAAACATTGCGGAATGGCGACGCGGAACATCTTCCCAACCCACTCAACCGGCCTCGAACGGCCAAAATACCGCCCCGCATACCTTTTCCCTCGACACAAATGCCTCAACACCCAAGACTCCCCGTCCCAGCGAAGAAGCTATTCTCTCTGCGCAATCAAGGTTTTTGAGCATATAAAAAATAAAGGCAAGTGTGTGCTTTGACGGCAGAGACTTCTATACGTGGAGCTTCGAGCTGGAACTGCTGCTGCAAAATGAGCAGATATTTCATTACTTCGACGGGAGCTACTCGGGACCCACCGAGGACACTGCTGACGCCCGAGCACAGTACTACAACGAGTCGTTAATGGCGTACGGCGTCTGCCTGCGGAATATGTCGCCGGCGGAGCAGTTGAGCATTCGCTCGTACAAGACGACTCCTGCTCCAGCCCTCGACCTTAGGGGAGAAGGTCAACAGCTACATCAACCGCTGTCGGAGCTTATGCAATCAAATCGCGAAACTGGGAAGCACAATCTCAGAGGAGATTTTCGTGAAGATCGTGCCTCAAGGGCTCGGCCCAGAGTGGCGGCCCTGCAAGGCGCTTCTCCGACAGCAGGGGGTCATCTCGGAGGCCGCCCTATGCGCCGCCCTTCTCGTCGAACAAAAGGATATGGATCAGCAGCGACCAGCGCCGCGACGAGACCGGGAACGCCTCGCTTTCTACGCCGACAACACGGAGGAGCGACGGCCGCGGCGCCTTTACTGCAAAATTTGCATAAACTTTGGGCACCTGGCAGATCGATGCAAATCCCGATCTCGCCCTCGCCAGACCAATCCGAGCAACTGGTCCGGCCGACAAGACGCACGGAACGACACGCGTCCAGCCAAGGGCATCAATCCCCATCGCGCAACGTGAACCCAACGGTTCAACATCAGCAGCAGCAGCCACCGACTGCGCCCGTCTGCAACGTCATGTGGAACATGACGATGACAAGCGGATCCCGTCGTCCCCGCGCGCGCTCACCGTCACCTGAGCCAGCACGCCACCCAATCGGAGCATTCTCGAACAACAATCCGTTCAGTACGCGTCACGACTTCAGCGACGACGATAATTAAGACTGGAATCTCCCAGTCCCGCTGCTTCCGCACGTACCTGATACGCGGGTGGCACCGATCGATTGGATCGCGCGCGAACAATTTCTGAAGTTTGACACACCGCACATCGTTACTCCGTGACTGGCGCTGCTCGCACGTAACGACAACAGGCGCTACAACACGTGGTACCTGGATAGCTGCTGTGGGCAGCACATGGTGGGCTCTGAGCGTTACATATCCAACGCCATCCCCACCCCCGCCGTCACCTACGTCACCGTGGCGAACAACACACGCCTGCGCGCAAGCGCGCAAGGAATCGTGGTGCTCAAGGCTCGAGGAAGCAGGACGCACATCACGATGAACGACGTGCTGATCGTGCAAAACTTACGCTTTAATCTCCTCTCGGCGGCCCAACTCATGGATTGCGGAGTTGACCTCAGCACCGACCCCGAGACGCGCGACATCCTGCTTCACTATGCCACGACGAACAAATCCCGCAAGCGGATCGGAAGAGCGCATTCGGAAAACGGAGTCTACGTTATCGACTTCGACATTCCCGACTGCAGCGGCGACTCGCAGGAGTTCATCGATCTCGTTCCCGCGCGGTTCGAACATATTCACCACCGTGACTGGAAACACCCAGACGGAAGACCATGGGTGCCGCATCACCCGCACCCGCGCGAGCTGGCGCTGCACGACCCCGACCCTGATGGCATCTGCAGGGATTGCCATACGCCCACAGTCTCAAGGAACGCGATTGCCGGCCGTGGCCTTGCCGCCATCGCCGAAGCAGAGCGGGAAGCACCGCCTGAAGAAGGACTGTCTCACCTGGAGCTCGAGACTGCAACGCGCGTCCTCTTCGGAACGGACGAGCATCCCCTCCCCGGGCCCGCATCACAACATCTTCGGGGCATGCTGCGCGACGTTGGCGTCGGCACCTTCGATGCGCACGGATTCCCGCGACCCTACACAAAGGAGAAATTCCTGGAAATCTACTCTCACCAGCGCGACTCTACGAAGAAGCTTACAGCGGACAAGAAGAAAAAATGACGCGTCGCGAAGCGGAAGAGCTTCGCCAACGGAGTCTTGCGGAGTCGCGCGGCACATTCGCCTGGAGCGGGGAGAAGAGGAGAGTGCCTCGAATGAAGGGGGGTGGGGAAGCGCTGGCGGACGGGGCACGAGCGACACTGGCGGCGATACCGGCGGATGGGGAGCCGCATGTGGCGGCGAGACAAGCGGATTGGGCACTTCCGGCGAAGGTTGGGGAGCTTCCCGCGTGGACCAAAGGGGGGAAGCAGAGGATATCGAGGCAGAACCTCCTGTTGTTCCTCTTGGTCGCCCTCCGCGCCGCACTGCACCTGCACTGCCCCCACCTGACATCCAGCCAGGAAGCGACCCCTGGGACACCATCGACTGGGGCAATGAGCCCTCTACTCCGCGACGCACTGTCTACGGGCCTGCCCACGAACCGCGAGAACCAACCTTCTTCCCCGGAACTATCCCTGGAACTAACATTCCCCTCTCCACAATCCTCGACAGGGAATTCCTTGCGCTGATGCTGACGACGGCGAATGGAGACGAAGAAGCTGAAGAAGCAGCAGCGGAACCTGCCCAAGCACCTGCCGAGGACCCCGCAGAAGCATACGCGCGCTACATGCGCACCTCTGGCTTTCGCGCCGACGATGCCATCTGGCACCAGCGCCTCGGTCACCCCTCGCGCGTAACGCTGAAGAACTGCATCGAGGCCGGCGTGTTTGCGCCCGGCGCACTCCTGCACCCTGATGGCACCGAAGTGAGAGGCGCGACACATCCGCGCAACTGCACCGTCTGCCCCGAAGCTGCGCAGTCACCAACCGTTCCCGCTGCTAGAACCTGGAACCAACCGCTACGCCAAATTAGAGAAGGTGTACGGTGACTTCCTCAACGTGGGTCACTGCGGAATCAACGACGAACTGTATACGCTCACCTTCGTCGACGCAGGAACGTGCTACGTCTGGATCGTGAACGTAGAAGCACGCAACAGAGCGTACGAAGTGTTCCGCCTCTGGCTGGCAGACGCGCAGCGGCAATCTGGGGAGAAGTTGAAAATCTGGCAATCTGACGGCGCAGCGGAGTTCAGGAGCAAAGAGATGCAAGATTACCTGGCGCAGAAGGGAATCGAGCACCATATTTCCCTCCCCTACGCGCATCAGCAGCAAGGCGTAGCTGAGCGCACGAATCGAACGCTCATGACGAAGGTACGGGCGTTGATGAAGCAGTCGAAGCTTCCGCCAACCTACTGG